ACATAAATAAAAATGAAACTAAAAATTTTTTTTTTAAAAAATAGCCTCCTATTTTGTTTTTCATTCTCTAATTTTTGGCAGCCAACAAAATGACATTTTATTAGAACTTATATTGAAGAAGAAATAAGAAAAGCAAGGAACAAGAAATAAAATAGTGAATAAAATGAAAATTAAATAAATAAGAAAAAACAAAAACAAAGAAAAGACAAACAAAGACATCATCCTTAAATTGTTGTCTGTTTTTCTTAGCATATTTTAAATTTTAATTTTCACTCTTTTCGTCCATTTTTCGCTTGCTCTTTAGCTCATTTTTCTCATTTTATAGTTATTAATGATTTCAATAGTAAATGGAGAATTTTTTAATTTAAAAAAAAAAAATTATAAAAAGAAGTTTGAGTTTATTTTTTTTTTGTTTTGAAAGTTTAATAAAGTTTTCCATTTTCTTATAATTTTTTAATATTATTTTCTCATTGCCTTTTCACTCCATGCCAGACAAATTTAATTTTAAAGAAAAATATTTTTTTTGTTTTCCATCTCATTAAAGTTTAACGATTATGGTACATTTTTGCACTCTATAAAATTTTTTTTGTTATCAAAATAATTTTATAAACATTTAAAAAAATATTTTTTCTTATTATTCCCCTAAAAGTATACAATAATTCTTTTATTTGCATATTTTAATCCATGTACAATTTTTTATTTGTTAAAGTCCTCTTACTAGCTTCCCTTACTTTTATTTATTTTTTCTTCTTCTATTTCATATAAAACTCAATTAGGTATTATAATAATTTTAAATTACCATAATTAAATCCAATGCACAATTATTTTTTTTTATAAAGAAAACAAAAAGATATTTAAATTTTTGTAATGACTCTTGACCTGATTTTCATTTAGTAGTGAAATGTAAAGCTTTTATTTAAACTCTTATTATAATATTTATTGCATTTAATTGTTATGTTAAAAGTATGCATAATTTTTGTTTATTATTCTTATTAAAGGGGTGTAAGTAGTTGTGTTATATACCTTGGTATTATTCATTATAATCTCAGTTATATGAGATAATATAAGATATTCAAATAATATTTGGATTTATTTTTATACATTATAATGTGAAAAGTTTACTCGATTTAATTTTCATGTTTAATTAAAAAATTTTTTTTTTGTTTAAATTCTGTTGGGAATATAAAATTTTAATAAAAATAAAATTGCATACTTTTAGGGGCACATGGCTTACTTTTGATAAATTATGTGATAAAATAAATGCAAGTCAAATTTTTAGTTTTCAATAGTTTTAGAGATTCTCAACACTTAAAGAGAACATTTTTTGTAGTTTTTTTTTTCGTTTTGCATGTAGGTTTCTGAATGTATCTGTTCACTAACAAGTATTCTCAGCAATATAAGCAAGCAAGGATAATGTAAATTTCATTAATCGTCTGTTTTACACCTTCAATTCTTATATTCAATTCTTAATTTATATTTTGCTAAAATCGATCATCGAAATAATATTGACACCCGTGTTATAGCCATTATTGTATTACGAAATCATTTTGTATTATCAAGTGTACAAATTCACATATTATTCTATACTAATACAAAAGAATATAAAGTAAGAAGAAATATTGGATATATTTTAAAATAAGTAGATATAGAGTCATCAGAGTCATTCCTAGGATTAAAAATCCATTAGCTTTTTTTTTTCTTCTGATTTTTATTTTTTGATTTTTATTTTCTTATACAAGCAATATATTATTTTTTTTTTTTTGATTTCTTTGTTATCCTATTTGTTTTTATAAAGGATCGTGAAGGTTATCTATTATTTTTCTCCACAAAATAATAAAAAAATAATCTATGTATGTGACCTCTCTCTCTCTCTGTAAAGGCCTAATATTAAGAAAAAAAAAATGTTAAATTTTTTTTTTTCTCCTTGCTTGTTTATATAGTATATATTATTTTATGTTATTAGTATTTCCTGTGAGTTTGAAAATGAAAGACAACTTGACAGAATGTATACAACCAGAAAAAAATGTTCAAATGACATTCGTGACATTTAAGATCATTAATAACAAACGAAAAATGGTGTGAATGAATTTTTATAGTATAACATTTTATATATTGTGTATTTTCTACAAATAAACGAACATGAAAATGTTTAAAGGAATAATATTATTTTAGAAATGATAAAAATATTCTTATAAGTTATATGTATAACATTAAAGATGTTATAGGATAAATTTGTATATAGGATTATATAAAAGCTATTTAATATTCTGAATGTCTTTTATAAAATTAATTTAATATAATGAATTAAAATCTCTAATAATTTACATACTTATTATATAATGGTTATAAACTTTGTTAAATTTTACAAACGGAAACTACTTTTATAATAAATTTGATTTTTACATTATTGCTGATGGTATAAAACTTAAATTAGTTTCAAATGATTACGAACATTGGAACTTAATATTGAAGTTTTACTCCCTTTATGAAGGTATTATTCAAAAATCAAAGATACTCGTAACTTGAATACCTTATAGAAAATATTTTATATTATTTTAAAGGTTGATTACAAATCAATATATTTTTCTAATATTCCTGATGCGTTTTCCAAATGAATTTCCCAAAGTTATTACATATAGGCTACTAATAAAAATTCTTTTATATTCGTTTCAGATTTTGAATAATATTTCAAGTACATTGAGCTTTTCTAACGGAATTTTAAAAAATCTCGGTTACATGAAACCAAAATTTCAATAATTATAAAGCTTATTCGGTTAAATCTCAAAATTTTTCAACAAAAATCTCTTAAGTCTTAAAAGAAAATATACAATGATTTGGTTCTAAAAAGAACATAAATTTTTAATTTCCTTTTACTTAGAGACAACAAAGTCAATTGTATTACGCACACCATCTTTAGAATAAAATTCAGTGTGTTCTATAACATCGACTCGGCTTCAGTTTCTAATATTTTCTTATTTTAATTTTTCTTTTCTAATAATACATTTAAAAAAAATAAATTCAATATAGCAAGCTAAAATCTAATTGAAATCTTTAATTCAGAATAAAATCTTTTAAACGACTCAAGTAAAGCATTTTAAAAAGAAATATTGAGAAGAATAAAAAAAAAACTAAAAGGAAAAATGAAAACTTAAAATTATTTTTATTTGTATTGAAGCGTAAAATAAACAACTAAAAAACCGCCATTCATATCATGAAATTCTTATATTCGCCAAAATGTTCATCAGTTCAACGTTTTTTGCTCCTTGTCATTTTTCCTTTTTGCTTTTTTTTTTGTTGTTTTTATTTAACATTTATATAATAAACTTATCAAATCGTATTTTAACATGAAATTCAACCATCTATCTTACTTGGGAAGGTAGGGGGGGTTCCATTTTATCCTTGTATTTTTCTTTATTGCTACTTACTATATAAAATAGTATAGTGTGCGCCTATATAAGAGAAAAAGTTCTTAGCGAACTCCAAATTTTTATCCTTTCATTTTTCTCATTACTTTTATTATTTTTCTTATGTTTTTTTTTTATTATCTACTCTTATTTCCTCAAATATATATTGCATACTTATTTTGGAAGACGAAAATTCAAATGAAACGAAAAACAAAAGAAAAATGAATGAAATCCTTAAAATAAAGGACAAATGAAAAATTTCCCTTATATTAGAATAAAAGAGGAAGGAATTTACTTGTCTCTTCGTTTTATTTTTGTCGACTCTAAACCAAAACAAAAACAAGAATGAAAATTTGCTTTCCTTGTAGTTTTTTGTTTTTATTTTGTTTAGATCTCTATTGTATATTGTATATAAGTAGTTAGTGAGAAGGAAAATAAAATACAGACTAAAAAATGTCATCCCGTTTAAATATCTGATGGAGAAAAAAAAAATGAATAATTTCTATTAATTTTTGAATTATATTAGAACATAAATTGCGTCTTAAGGAGCACAAATAAAACTTATATATGTAGACGAAAATTGCACGAGCACAAACACAGTATAGAAAATAAAAAAGCCAACTTTATGAAGCCCATATATTTTTTGCCAATTTGGAAATTGTAAGAAGACTTTTCAATAGGAATTGACAATATCCAACTACTGTTATGGAAAATAGCGGCCTTATTTCTAAACCCACTTATTTATATAAAATGTATGGGCTGTAAAAGTTTCTATGATTAAAAACTTTTAGAAATCATGTTGAATTTCTACTCTTTTAATATTAGTGGATTAAAATCATAATTAAGTTTTTCGTTTTACAGAAAATAATTTTGGCTGGTCGAAGGCTATTATTGCGACGAACACAAATAAATCATAAAAGGCTCAAAATTTCGAAACAAAGCCGAAATATATTAAAAAATTTTTATACATATTTCACCGCTTTTATTATTCAAATAAGGTCACTTATTTGAAAAAATATTTTCACAAATCACATTAGCAATAAGGCATGTTCCCACGTGAAATGTATATATATATACATATATATAATATACTATAAAATAATATTTAAAAACAAATTATTGTAAATTCGTTAAAAATAATGTTATCCATAATAAAATGTTGTTCTTAGTCCTTTTCTTGAATAATAATAAAGTTAGTAAACAATTAAAGAAATTGAGAACAAAGTCAAATAAGTGAAAATGAAATAAAAGGACTATGAAGGACTTTTTTGTTTTGTGTTTTTATTACATTTTACATGAGTGTATATATATTTATGCACATATTATTATTAATATTTTTCTATCGAAACAATTTCTTTAATTTTGTCATTACTAAACATTCTTTTTTTTTTATTTTTCTACTAATTTTTTTTTCATAATATTCATATTATTTCTAAGGTTATTTTTTCAATGCGAATTAGTACGAGTACACAAAAAACCAAAAAAATTTTCTTATCCTTTTTTTGTAATGTTGATTTTCTTATTTATTCGTATATATGTATATGATTCTCGAATATTTATCTTAATTTTGTTTTTGTTTGTTATTAATCATTACAGAAAATCGGGAAGAGCCTACCGTAGAGGAAACACAATCAAAACGTTTTACAACAACATCACGTTTAAGACTGAAACCAACAGCAAGTGATGATTATACAGAATATAGTTGTCAGGCAAGACAAAAAGCCTTACCACCTGATATGCCAATGAAAGCTAGTGTTCATCTATCCGTTTTATGTAAGTTTAAATTAATATTAAAATTATAAGTATAAAACAGAGAAAAGAAATTATTATTTTTATATTGTTATACAAACAATGTAAAGTTTTGGTAGGTGACGAGTGTTTTGCTTGGTGTCCAACATTGAATTAACCAATATAATGAGGAGGAGCCGAGTGTGGTTCCTTCGAGTTAAAGGAAAAATTTATGTTGTATGAAATTTATTATTTTGCTTAATTATTGAAATATGAAAATTGATTTCTTAATATTCTTTACGTTCTGCGTTTGAATGAGAAAAGTCTTAGAGGTTATATGTAAAAATTTAAGTTCTCACCGTTTTGTATCCTAAATCCAATATTATGTAAAAAATAAGAAATTCTTCGGCATTTTGATTGAAAAATACTGATTTTTCAATTTGCAAGTAGAAATTGAGCTTATTTACGATTTGCTTGAAAAATATAGCAAATTTTACGTTGTTTACTATGAAAAATATCAAAAATTTAAGGTTTTTTACGTTTTATGTCAAAAATATGACTTTTGTTTTGTTTATAAGATTTAGATGAAATTCTCAGAATTTTTTACGTTTTGTATGAAAAATACATGGTTTCTTACGTTTTTTACGTAATACACAGTATTTTACGTCTTTTACGCTATGTTTATGCTATATATACGTTTTTTACGTAAAAAACTATGTACGTTTTTTACACTTTGTACGTAAATAACTATGTATTTTTAAAAACTATGTACGTTTTTTACGTAAAAAACTATGTATTTTACTTTTAATACGTAAACTATGTACGTTTTTTATGTAAAAAACTATGTATTTTACGTTTAATACGTATACATAGTTTTTTACGTTTTTTAGGTAAAAAACTGTAACATAGTTATACATAGCATTTTACGTTAACTACACATGGTTTTTTACATTTTTTACGTTTTTTACTTTTTTTACGTTTTTTACGTAAAAAACTATGTTTTTTTTAAAGCTAAGTAAATAAAATGTTTTAATAATGAAACCTGTATAAGAATGCCTATATGATACCGTTATGAAGAAATTTAATTTCGAAACAAATTAAAATAATATGAGTTGGTGCCACTTTTACAAAAAAAAATGTTCGTGTCACACATACTAATCTACTATTATAATTTCATATTAAACTAGATAGTGAACTATGATAAGTCTATGATAATATAAAGAAAAACTTATCATCTCCTCATTCAATTAGCATTCAAATACTAAAAAAATATATAATAGGCTTACTTACGTAAACAGAAAATGTTATACTTTTCGTACCATACACAAAATTGTATTCAATATTCAACATATTTGAATTGCTATAACTTTTTAAACAAATTGTACAAAGCTATAGAGACTCTAGGATGAAAACAAAAAATATTATTGTAACAAAACAAAAATAGGTAATTTTCTCTTAAAACATTCCGGTGAGTTGAGAAAGAGAAAAAAATTACATAAATTGGTTATTCAAGGTCAATTGTAATTTAGGATTAGCCCTTTTTTTTTATATTTTACTTCCATGTAAATTCTTCTTATTGACATCGTTTCGTTTTTCATATCCTTTTTTTTTTGAATATTTTATAGAAACCAATAAGTTAAAATCATAGTATGTATGCGTACTTAACGTATAAGAATCGACAAAATATATAGGTACATTCCTACTTACGTATAATGAAGTACATTTTAAATATTTAAGTAAAAGAAATATACTAACTTTTTTTTTACATAATATACATACAAATATGTATGTATATATCGTATATTATATTATGATATGCACATAACAATAATATTAAGTTAAAATTATATATTAAGACTGAAAGAGATAGAGAAAGTTTATTGTAAATAGTAAAATTTTATGATGTAATCCTTTTAAGTAGATAAATGTAATATGAAATGGAATGAACGTGTTTAAGATAAAATTACTCATTGAGCATATGGTGTTTTATATTTCAAGTTATTTTTCAAACTTTATATCTATATTTTTTTTTTTGTTTTTCTCAGTTTTTTTTTTCTGTATTTACGAGTGGTAATAATAAAGAGAATAAGAAAAGGATATGTACTGTGCACACAATTTTTATACTATGAGTATATTGAGTATACTGAGTATTGTGAGAAGGTAGATATATATTATTTGCATATTATATGATCAATTTAATGATCATAAAACAATAGAATACATTATTATATCCTTTACAATATTTAAATTTTATATGTAATTTTGTTAACTTGATGAAAATTGAGAATATTATGTATTCTCAATATTTTAAGGGAAAACAAATTCAAATACAAAATATTATTTGAAAATATATCTGCAACTCTTTACCTTGTAAAGTAATCAAAACCATTATTGAAATTAAAATAACACACAAAGAAAATGCTATGACACAAAAAACAAATCGGTAACAAAATTTTAATACACAGCCAGAATAGTATTAAATTTTCTACTCTTAAAATTTTCATGATAAATTTTCCGAATTAAATACCTTAAACAATATTTCGGATCATCTCCCAAAAAAAAAAAAAAAAAAAAAAATATAAAATTTACGAAAAATTTTTTTTTAATACAGGTTTAAAAAATCATCGTAAGACAGAGACAGGTAGACCGAAACTGTCATCAGACCTATCAACAATGGGGGACTTTAACCCAATACCTAGCTAAACTGGCTAATCATTAGTTTTGCTTTATCGCGTTTTTGTCTCTATATATCATCAAGGATGGCACGAAAGTGCTGCCATTCTCCACTGTAAATCGATTGGTCTCGACATTTTCATGCTGTTCCAAATTCGCCCTATATTCACATTTCCTTATTTCCTCATTTACTTGGGGGATACCCAGATTCCTATGAATCTCACTATTGTGCACATATCAGGGAGCGGCTTCCATATTACGAAGGACCTTGTTCTGGAAAGTTTGTATTTAATTGATGTGCATTTGCTTGGCATAAGCGTATAGCTGTAAGCCAAACGTCCATTTAGGCTTCATCATTTGGTTATATTGCAATATTATACCTAGGAACCAATAGTTTTCTCAATTTACATTAATGTTTTTTAATTTTCTCAATTTAAATTTACAAAAATGTCCCAATTTTAATTCCAAATAAATTCTTCTTCAATTTTTTCTAGTTCACATAGTTTTTAAACTATTTAAAACCAGATTTTTTTTTTAGTTATTTTTACAGTTAGCTATTTTAAAACGATTTTCAATTAAATGCCATTAAAGTTAAAGAAATTATTGATTTTTAAGTGCAAAACTTTATGATTAATTAAAAATTCAAAATCATGAATATATAGGAGAAAAAAAAACTAGCTATTTATTTAACGTAGAAAAAATCATAACCCGTTAAAAACATTTCGTAAAATAAAAACAAAAGAAAAAAAAAATTTTTTTTTTTATAATTTGTAAAAACTTTCAATTGCAAAAACCTCCAAAAAAAAAAAACAAATAAGGAAAATAATGAAAAATTTTTACCGTATCATCATTATAACGGAAATATGAGCGGAAAAATAAATTTTCCACAGTTACATAGCTTTCTGCATAGTTCACAGTAAAAATGCAGTTGCATGTTAAAATTTATTTTTATTTTTTTGTTTGTTTTTATTTTTTATTTTTTAGATTTTGTTTTTTTTTACTGTTTCTGACATCAACAAATGAAATGTTAATTAAAAACTTATTCTTTTTTTGTGTTAATTTTTTGGCAAAAAGCAATTTTTTTTCTTTTTTTTTTCTAACAGTGCTCTACTGCTTATTAATATTAATTATTAATAATATTTTTTTTCTATAATTTCTTTTATTCGAAATATTGACAATAGTGATTTCGAGGATTTTTATTTAACATATCTTGATATTAATTTTTAAAACCGAATTTAAAATATTTTATTTGAATAATTTTCATAAGCAATAGCCTTTCGTAAGACATTGCTTCTTAAATTCAAAAAATATTAAGAAAATTAATTAAAAGTTGAAAATTTAATATAACAATTTATTTCATCACATATTGTAAAATATTCTTACTAGGCTGAAAAAAAAAATATTATTACATCTGCCATAGTTTTACATGCTCCTATAGTAATAAAAACTGGATCAGGATAGCGCAAAAAAATAACAATTTTTTGCACTGCATTCTTAACATTAGTTGCAATTCTTTTATCTTATGGTACTAAAAAATACAAGCCATATTCCTTCAACGCTATGTAACTCCAGTCAACGCTATGTAACTTGACCTAAATATTATCTTTTCAAATTTTATTGAATAGAAAAAAATAGATAACTACAAATTATCAGACATTACAGTAACAGTTGCATAAGTAAATATGTTCTGTTGCAGAAAAAGTCATAATATATGGTTACATTTTCAATGTTACGCAGTAATTTTTGGAAGGTTTTGTTTGTCATATACACATGAAGAATATCACAAAATCAATTGAAAATGTAGTCATAAAATCCAGCTACATTTTATATGCCGCAAATCATCTACGTATATCAGTACAAAATAAATATATATTCAATATGGAGGCAGAAATATTACTAATTTTGTAACTTTTACTAGCAAATTTTGATATAAAGTTGTAGTTATGTTTTTTTAGCTACCAAAATAGTGACAATTTTTTTCAGTATAATATAGAATGTATAGAAGTGAAAAATTAAAGAACACAGTTTTCAACACTTATGTTTCTCTTATATTATTACAAATATATCTGATTATGTCTTATATTAATTACATAAGTAAATTATTATGTATATATACTTTAAAATGTACAGTATTAAATATTCGCATGGAAAAAAATATATATATTATATATATTACGTATGATAATGTATAAATGTGAACAATATTGCCAGATAATTGACATCAACCATTTTGTTATGGTCTATAATATTATATGTATATAACGTGTGTATAACACACACTAATTCATATACATTCAAATAAAATTAATATTCATTCAGTTATTCGAGCACATATTCAGAATTTTTTTATATTCGAAAAAACAATTTTAAGG